GTTTGTTTGTGTGTGCGTGCATGTATGAGGAAATACCACATTCTTGCCCCCCCCCCCAAATCTCATTGTGTTTATAGAAGTACAAGGCCACATTAATTCAATTATTACCTGCAATTTTGCTGTGGATTTGTCATATAAAACAAGACAAGATACATTATTGGTTTTGATGCTTGTGCATCCAATATCAAGAATTGAATTACTTTTATCCGAACACAGTTCAGTTTTATTTCAAGAAACATGTAATTTTTGTTCTATTTAAAATATCGTGTTATACAATACTTTGCACGTATAAATTATGTTTTATACAAGATGCGATATATTGTAATAGTCGTGATTCCAAACAAAACCATGTGTCCTGTACATCAAATTGACTGCTTGACAAAGTTCATAGGAACTTTATACTGCCATGTTTGGTTACAATTTCCAGATTTCTGGTCATTGCACCATGCAGCTCATAGAGTCCCATATGAAAGATACTCAATTCTATACATAATTAATATAAATCTGTTGATCTATGTTATATGTGGAGTACTTGCCCAAAACATGCAACTTCTTTTTTTTTTTAGGTTCACAACTCGTGCAAGGGGTTTATGTATTGCTCTGACCATACTCATCCGACTTCGTGCCCCACATTTTTCTATTTTCATGGTCATGTTTGGTTAAGCGCTCACCCCTTTTCATTGTAAGTGTTGTGGAAATCAATGTCAAGGCAACTATTCTCAATTTTATTGTCACCCCAAAGACATGCATAAAATTTTTTTAAATCACTTTTCTAGGGGATGCTCGGCTAATCACCCTGTGCACCAAGTATGACTGACGAGTATGGTAGTAGCGCATGTGCTTGTTGCATTTTAATGATCTACTATACTAAATTCAAATTTTGGTTTTATTTGTGCTTCCTATTGGGGATGCTACTGGGTCTGGTTCATTTTACCTCAGTGATATGTGATAGAGGGCAGTATACTGCGTGTCTCATCTGATGCACATCTGCATTCACTGGAACTTGACACGAAATTAATGTCTTTATCAGAGTACCATGAATAAGGTTACAGCATACCATTCACCAACATGCTTATAGCTGTACTACTTATAATGAATTATTCTTGTGCAAGATTTACTGAGAGACAAGAAATAAAACTTGTTATTTTTGTTGTGAAACAGTTAATATGATTTTACACAATTTTTTACTTTTAGAAAAATGTATAAAGTTTTTTTTATGTCTTGTAAATATTGATAAAAGAAT